CGCATAAACATGTATATATACATATATACACATATATATACATGTATATATACATATACATATACATATACACACACATATATATATATATATATATATATATATATATATACATACATACATATATACGCATATATAAATACATGTATACACATATACATATGTATATACATACAAACATACATGTAAATAAGTAATATACATATATATACATATATACATACAAATACATATATATATATATATATATATATATAAACATACAATATATGTAAACTCGTATATATGTAAAGCAAACAAAATATTTATGAAGATGGATAATACATATAAAATACAAGTGGACTTACATTATGTTGGTTGGTTACATATAGAGAAGTGTACACAGCACTAGAGATTGGCACTAACATTTATACAACTAACTTGTCAACACTATGCATTTTTTATAATTTTTTGTATAATGTAAACAGAAAAATGATAGTTTTATTGAACAAAAATGTAAGTAGAATTATGTAATTTCTGCCACGACTTCTGTACTTTGCGAGTACCGAGGCATGTATAAACGCCAACACGTGTTTTGAGAGATTTTTAAGGGTCATTCCAGGATTGTTATGGGCGGGTAGGTAGAAAATGGTCGGAGTTGAAACTAGTAATGTTAGGCTAGGTTTGTATGGTTAGAATTAGGAGAAAAAAATTGGAAATGTTATTTAGTATTACTAGGTAGTTAAACTAATAACTCAAATATCTAAAATAAAATTTTTTTAAGGTTTATTCAAAATTTGCTATGCATGGGTAGGTAAAGCTCGGGTATCAAGGCCGAAGTTAAACTAGGAAGTGTTGGCAAGGTTAGTAAGGTCAGAATTAGTTTTGTTCAGAGGAATTAAATTTGGAAACATTATTTAGTATTACTTGGTAGTTATCGCAGAGTAAGGAGGAATCCGATCTTTTGTTCACCGCGTGATCACATATTGATATGAAACAAGATTCTGCAAAACGTCTCTGAATGGTGTTCCGTTCATGGTAGAGAATACTGGCATTATAAAAGTTAAAGGAGTGTTTGAAATTTTTTATGTGTTCTGTTATCATAGTTTGGTTTTGGTTGGGGTTTTTCGAATTATTGTCGTGTTGTTTGAGTCTTTTTATTAAATTTTGTCCGGTTTCACCTATGTAAGTAGAAGGGCAATCATTGCAATTTACTTTGTACACAATGTTGGAAGTACGTTCTATACTAGTGGGAGATTTCAGGTTTGTGTAGAGGGAATTAAGAGTTAGATCTATGTTGCAGGTTAGTCTGATGTCTACCTTATGAAAAAGTTTTTTCCACACTGGAAAAAGTTCTTTTACGTAAGGTAAACAAACGTTGCCTATATAGTTATTGTCTTTAGAATTTTTTTCTGGGGAAAAAGAAGAATGCATACTGTTGAGGGTTTTAAGTCTGTTGGAGGTGACGGAGTTGATGAGGTGCGGTGGATATGAGTTGTTAATTAAAGTTGTGCGGATGAGGGATAAGTCAGAGGGCCAAAATTGTTTGTCTGAGAGTAGGATGGCATGGTCGACTAAATTAATAATAGTGCCTATCTTCATGCTAGAAGGGTGGTAAGAATGATAATTTAAATACCTACCCGACCAAGTAGGTTTTTGGAACCAATTAGTGATAATTCGATTGTCTGTGGTTTTTATAATTTTTACGTCTAAAAAGCTGATAGAATTTTCTTGTTCTTTTTCAAACGTAAAGGAGAGATGCTCATTAAATGAGTTAAAACTATGAAGTAAGAGTTCGAAATTTTTAACAGGAACACAAGTAAGGATGTCATCAACGTATCTGTAATAAAAATGAAGGTCTAGATTGTAGGAATTAAAAACTTTCAACTCTAAGTGTTGTAAAGCAATTTCTGCGAGTGAAGGGGATATAGGAGAACCCATAGGTGTGCCAAATATTTGAAGGTAAAAATGGTCGTTGAATTCGAAATAAGTATTCGAAACTATGAATTTTATGGACTCGAGAAACCAATGCAGTGATAACGTTGTATGACATGAGATTTCGTCCCATCTAGCAGTGATGGCATCTAAAATTAATTGTAGGGGGACGTTTGTGAATAGGGATACTACGTCAAGACTAACCAATAAGGAGTTATCAGGAATAACGGAATCGCGGAGATTGTTGACAAGTTCAAAGGAGTTTTTTGTAAAGAAACGAGACTTGACTGTGACTGAAGAGAGTATGTTGCTTAGGTATTTGGAGAATTTTGAAAGAGGTGAGTTTAGGTCAGCCACGATAGGTCTGAGAGGAACGTTGTGTTCATGTATTTTAGGAAGTCCGTCGAGTTTGGGGTTGTAAGGGTGAAGGTTTTTAATTGTCAGTGAGATTTGTGGAGTAATTTGTTTGTTAGAGATTAAGTTGTTTACAAATTTATGAAAAGTACGGTTAATTCGGTCAGTGGGATCGGAGTTAATGGGAGAATATGTTTTTGTGTCTGAAATTAATTCGGAGACTTTTTCTAGGTACGTGGTTTTTTCCAAAATGACTGTGATATTCCCCTTGTCGGCCCTCGTAATTAAAATGTTAGGGTTTTCTTTAATAAAAAGTTTGCAAGCTTTAATGTCTCTAAGGATGTCAATATTGTCGATTTTTTTGTGTTAAAAGATTTAATAAACGAGAGAAAATTTTTACAAAAAGCTGAACGGGTATTAGTTTTAATTTCGGGATTTTTTATATTCTGTAAGCTTGACTCTAATCTGCTGAGTACTTTGATAAAATTAAAGTTGTGACAGTTGTTAGGAATAGCAAAATTTGGGCCTAGTGCAAAAATATAGAGTAGTCTATCAGGTATATGGATATTAGATAGATTTTTTAGCCATTTATTGGTAAGAGATTCGTTCAGGATGATTTTTGACGAGTTCATTTTTGATTCGTGTAATTTATTGAATTTTTTAATATATGAGGTTTTGGATTTGTTGTAGTTCTTTTTAATACGAATGGATTCAAATTCAGAGAAGCTCTCCAGGATCTCGGTTTCAACAGAATACGATAAAAAGACTCAAACAACACGACAATAATTCGAAAAACCCCAACCAAAACCAAACTATGATAACAGAACACATAAAAAATTTCAAACACTCCTTTAACTTTTATAATGCCAGTATTCTCTACCATGAACGGAACACCATTCAGAGACGTTTTGCAGAATCTTGTTTCATATCAATATGTGATCACGCGGTGAACAAAAGATCGGATTCCTCTTTACTCTGCGATAACTACCAAGTAATACTAAATAATGTTTCCAAATTTATCTCCTCTGAACAAAACTAATTCTGACCTTACTAACCTTGCCAACACTTCCTAGTTTAACTTCGGCCTTGATACCCGAGCTTTACCTACCCATGCATAGCAAATTTTGAATAAACCTTAAAAAATTTTTATTTTAGATATTTGAGTTATTAGTTTAACTACCTAGTAATACTAAATAACATTTCCAATTTTTTTCTCCTAATTCTAACCATACAAACCTAGCCTAACATTACTAGTTTCAACTCCGACCATTTTCTACCTACCCGCCCATAACAATCCTGGAATGACCCTTAAAAATCTCTCAAAACACGTGTTGGCGTTTATACATGCCTTGGTACTCGCAAAGTACAGAAGTCGTGGCAGAAATTACATAATTCTACTTACATTTTTGTTCAATAAAACTATCATTTTTCTGTTTACATTATACAAAAAATTATAAAAAATGCATAGTGTTGACAAGTTAGTTGTATAAATGTTAGTGCCAATCTCTAGTGCTGTGTACACTTCTCTATATGTAACCAACCAACATAATGTAAGTCCACTTGTATTTTATATGTATTATCCATCTTCATAAATATTTTGTTTGCTTTACATATATACGAGTTTACATATATTGTATGTTTATATATATATATATATATATATATATGTATTTGTATGTATATATGTATATATATGTATATTACTTATTTACATGTATGTTTGTATGTATATACATATGTATATGTGTATACATGTATTTGTATATGCGTATATATGTATGTATATATATATATATATATATATATATATATATATATATATGTGAGCATTTATTTACATATGTATATATATGTATTGTGTATATATATATATATATTTGTGAGCATTTATTTACATATGTATATATATATGTATTGTATATATATATATATATATATATATATATGTGTGTATATGTATATGTATATATACATGTATATATATGTGTATATATGAGTGTGTGTATATATGTATATATACATGTTTATGCGTATATGTATGTGTATACGTGTATAGCTATAGTTACATAGATAGGTATGAGTATATGTATGTTTCATACATGTACATGTACGTCGTTGTGAATATGCATGCACGTTGCATATATGTATATACGTATATTTATATATGTATAGTCGCACATGTATATGTGTACATATATAGGTATATATTGTTGTATCTGTATATGTATATGTGTTTTATATGTTCGCATGTGTGTGTATATGTATATGTGCATGTATGTATATATATATATATATATATATATATATATATGTATATATGCGTAGGTTTATATGAGTGTACTTAGATATTTTTGCCTATATTTTTTAATTATTTATTTAATTCTAATCTCTACTACCTTTCCTATCTTTTATATTTGGTTTGTTGTTAAGTGTTGCTGTTTGTTAATTTTTCTCTTATTGTACAGTTACTTTACCAATTCACATATATTATAATTACCTAGATATACTAATTTTCATACTGTTTTTAGATCCACTGATGATGACATTAAATTGAATGTCGAAACGTTTGGAAATAAAGATTATTTTATAAATCTTTGGCTTTTCTTTGTTTGATGTATCGCCCTCAAGAACTCACTCACATATTTCAACATCAAAATTAACTACTAATTCATATATATATATATATATATATATATATATATATATATATATATATACACTATTTTGTTTAGGTTCATTCATCTCAAACTGCAAATTGCTTATCCAAGGGCCATTCAGAAGGCAAGTCTCCCCGTGACGGCGCAGAGAAATTTGAAGATATTGACGAAAATAAACAAAACAATACCGCCAATACTAAAACTGTACGAAATCAAGCGGATCCTGTGAAAAGACTAAGAGGTTAGTTTCATCATTAAGTATGCATTATATATTTTCCAATGGTTTTTATGATGTTTAAATGCTTATTCAATTAATTTTACTTTCAATTTCAATTAGTTTGGTTTTAAAATTCAAAAGATTAAAATTAATTTATTTTACAATTTTTAGGTTTAATTAACTTCCCGTAGGGTAAGTTATAGTAATCGCAAAAAAATCGAAATCTTACGTTTCAGTGGTTTCTGAACATTGTGCGGATACAAATTTTCGTCGATGATTTTGGGAACACGGTTCAACCGATTTCAATTATTCAAAAATCATTCGATTGCTGTCGATAAGGAGACGTGATGATTAGTTTTTGGCATAGGCAGGTGTAGCCGTTTCGAAGATACGGGGCAAAAAGTGCCACAAACGGTAACTCAGTTTTTAAGAGCACGGAGCGTTCGATTTAAATAATTCAAAAAACATTTTACTTGTATTGACAAGATTGAAGAACTGATTAAATATTCATGAAGGGGCAGGTCTAGCGGTTTCGGAGATCCAGTGAAAATAGTAAAAAATGCCGTTTGGCGATCAAAAATGATCATTAGACATATGCACATCAAATTATTAGATATTTTATAGAGATTTTAACAATAAGTATAAATTTTGTTTACATTTTTATGGGTTCCGTACCAATGTTTATCAGTTAGACGGCGACGCGGCACTTACGCGCTTCGATATTTCATCTCTATGCAGTTAAAGCAGTTTTTGAAGAAAAGTTTTTCAAAAAGTCTTTTTTTCTAAAAAAGTATTTTTTGTCAAAAATTTATAGTTTCTTAAAAATCTCATTTTTTCAAAGTAATTTTTTTAAAAAAATGTTAATCCTTAAGGCACGATGCCATGCGCCACACTAGTTCAATTTATTTATTTGAATGCTATTTTTAGAAGCATTGTATTTTCTAAGTCCGATATTTTACGCGGTCCTTATCCACCACATACGACATATGTCTATGGCGATATATCGTACAAAGTTGTTTATTATAGGTAAGACTGTATGAAATTTTTGAACACTTCTTTGTACGATTTCTTTTATACGTCCCAAAAATCGGGACGGTATCGAATAGATAGTGTCGATACCTTTTTCGTGTCGCTAGTCGTTAGTTCAATTTGTGACTTATTGTGGATATCTAGAGGTACATAAAATAAAATAAATAATTCTAAGTAATATATTTATATTAATACATATATATTTACTCATTTTTATAAGCATTTATTTTGTTTTAAAACATTTTGTACAAAACTTTTTTGAGGTTATGTATACAATTTGTTCTTGTGGAAGTAGAATAGATAACAAATTAAATTGTAATATGCTTATTTTTGTTAATACATCAATATATGTATAATATTAATTCAAAGTTATTAATAGCGACATGAAAAAAGTATAGATACTTTCTATTCGATACCGTGTTCCTACCCAAAAACCGCACAAAAGCAGAATCTACTGTATAATAGGATGACACAACAAAGTTCATGTTGCCGTTCGCTACAAACTAACCACCACTTGTCCCCATCATTACGAATTGAATGTTTTTTAGATCATTTAAATCGATGCTCAGTTCTTTCAAACGGCTGGACCTGCCTTTGCCAAAAAATAATCAGCACATCTCTCAATCCATAAGAATCGAATGTTTTTTGAACCATTCAAATCGGTTGATACATGCGTACGAAAACGTGAACGAAAAAATGCGGTTTCCGCACACACCCACATCCATTTTTTCTGAGGTATGCCAAAATGTTCAGAAACCTTCAAATCATGAAGATATGCAAAAATTGTCATTTTTGTTTTTTGGCCCGTTACTATAACTACCCTACAGTAAGTTAAAAAATCTTTGTTTGTGTTGACCAAACGATTGCTTTTGAAAAAAAAAATTATTTTCCAAAAAAAAATTTCTTGAATATCGAAAATAATTTGGATTGTAATTCTAATTCTAGCTAAAGTTCTAAAGCTCACTTATATACTTCAAATAAATAATTTTTACTTTGCAAGTCAGTTGCAAAAAATTCGATTAGCTAATTTTATATTTTCTCGACGTTGCAAGCCATTCTGAATCGAGTAGGACTAAATTTGGAGTGAACAGATTTTTTTTACCATAAATAGACGTTTTCTCAAAAAAACGGCTGGACCGATTTTATGAAAACCATTCGATGTATCTCGATGAGGACTAGCGTTTATCAGTTTTGCGCGACAATCGGTCGAGCTGTTTCTTTGTAAATTGCAGAAAAGTGAAACCATTCAAACCCAGTCAAATTAAAGCTAAAAAAGCCGTCAGTTGGGAATAATTCGCATAGAGCTGAAATTTGGTACAGATGTTAAATAGGCCATTACTAATAAAATGTCAAAAGTCCCCATCGATCGGACATCTGCGATTTTTTATATTTAAGGTCAAAGGTGCAAAATTCTAGTTTTTTTCCATTTTCTGCTGAAACCATAAGAAATTTTAAAAAAATATGTTAGATAGGTTCTCTCTAACGATATTGTTACTTGTATTCCAAAAGAAGATATTAGCACCGTTACCGATAATTTTAACAATTTCAATAAAAAACTACAGTTTACTGTGGAATTAGAGACAATGAATTTGGTTAGCATTCTAAAAATCAGACTAATGCGTACAAATGACCACCGACTAATAACTAACTGGTACCGGAAACCAACTAGCTCCAGACGATACATAAATTGCCACTTATACCACCCTCTTAAAATGAAAATAGCAACAATAATAAACTTAACAATAAAAAATACCAATAAACAATTCTGGAACATAGTAATAAGCAAATTAAAAAATAACTCTTACCCTTAAAACATTATTAACTCAGTAATAAATAACAGACGCAATTACCTTTTTAACAAACATAACGAACCTCAACGACCATAATAACCGTTTGGACCTAGAGTCATATTCCGGTGTTATATTTGTTTACCGTATGTAAAAGATTTTTATTTTTGTGGAGAAAGATGCTTCAACAATGTGGCCTTCTAATTGGTATGTAATTGCGATACAACCCTTACTTTCATTTTTACACAAATTAATGGACCGATTTCCCCACACAACAGACTAATGTTATGGCAAGGCTATGTTATGAAGAAGTTTCATAAAACAAATTTGATAAAAGCTATATGGTTGCAGTACAGTCAGGCGGTTTTTCTCACATAGAAACCGAACAAATGATAAAAAAACGATATTAGATAACAGGATTCAGCTTCATAACATACGAGTGGCATTGCAGTTTATGCACAGCAAATATATGACATTTTGACAGTATTCAGTATGATTCAGTAGCATAATGTGTGAAATTTGGAGCGTAACATGGCCTTGCCATAACATTGGCCTGTTGTGCGGCAGAATCGACTCATAAATCTAAGCTTAATTCTGACCGCTTCAGGAACTTAGTATATTAGATAAATTGCCCTAAGTGCTTACTTTTTTATATTGGAGAAACTAGCCAAAACCTGAGTAAACACCCTTATCAACACAAAAATAACTACAAAAATACCAAACAATTCAAGACTATGTTAACTGAACATATAAATAATTTAAACCATAACGAAACCTTAACGATTTAAGATTTTTTAACCCAAAATTTTTACATTTTGAAGCGAACATAATTAAAAGAATATAGAAGCATAACGACAGGGTCATAAACAAACGATTTGACAACATGGCCCTGAGCGAAACAAACACACGGTTTCTAAATAGCGTTTCAAAATTTCTTATAAAATGACAAGACCCCATCGTTTGTTTTTCATTTCTCGTAAAATTTGAACATGTGTTAAAAACTGCTTAAAAAACTGATATTTCTATCCTAGACTTCGAATAGTCAATACATAGTTCCAACAACTTATTAAAAGTTATTCATGTTTATTTTTGCGGTTTATATCTTACAAGCTGACCCGGCAAATGTTATTTTGCTAAGTAAGGTATTTTTTAAACAATTTCTAGAGAATCAATAAAATTAATTATTTATTTTATGTGTGTAAGGATGTGTTGTTTGAATGCTATATACAATGAGGTATTATAAAAACAATAAACCCCATTAGTTTGTCTATATTTTTACAATCAAACTGGAAGTTTTATACACCTTCTATAGAAAACATGGCCAAAATCCATGTGATCTTTCGACTTATTGATTACGTTTCAAGTTTTCCAGATTCTTTTTTATTTTGTGTATAATTGTAAATAATACTACTGCTTATACAAAATTTCTGCGAGGAGAGATAGAATATGTATTACGTATTTCTTCTTTGACCTGCTTGAAAAGTTTCAAGTAACATTCGATCAATTAAAGTAAATTTAATAAAAAGTACATGTGTAAAGCGGGACGGGGCACAAAGGTTCAATTTGACTTTGAGCAACTATAAATTATATTTTGAAAACGAAACCAATTATATCACAACAAATAACACATTTCTAACGAACAACTGACTACGTTCAGTAAAACTGCCAGCTACTTCATCTTTGTAGAAGCGTGCTTTTTTGCTGTATTTCAAAAATTTGTTATCTAGACCTTTTTACCTTGTAGGCGGGGTTAATTTCTTATTTTAAATTTAAAGGTATTTTGCAAAATAATTACATTTTTAACTAATGCCAAAAAACTACCAACGGAAGAAGATATTTTTATTATGCATTTTTATAGATTACCATTTATCTCCTGATAGCAAAGTCATAAGTTCAAGATTATAGCTGGTTATACATCTTTTTTCCTCCACTCTCAAATACCATTTGTTGAACAATGCTTAACTTTACTGGTTTTTGACGCATCGATGGTGTACCTTTTTGACCCCGGACCTTCATATATTACTATCCATTCTTCGATAAATTTTGGTAAATTATAACTGGGAATAAGTTATTCGACAAAATATCCTTTTAATCGATTCCAAATTTAGGTTCTGATTTTAAATAACATAAATAAAAAAATATATTCTAGAAAATGTTTTATAAATACCAATGGGTATATAATTATACAAATGTGTTCTTTCAGAGCAC